GGTCCTGGGCACGGACATGGCACCGCTCGTCAGGCTACGTTGAGGCGGTGTCCTACATCCCACAACTAGAAGGACCTGCAACTAAGATACACAACTATGCACGGGGGGGGGGGGGGTTTGGGAAATAGAGCAGAAAAAAAAACTGTTGACGGGGAACTTTAAAACAGAGCAATCAAGCTAATAGCACTGAGCCTGTTAATCAATCTTAACATCATTAAAAGTGAGACCACCAGATACTATGTACCTCCTGACGTGATTCACTAGAAGTAGACACCACCTATGAATTACCGTCCAAAAGGTATATATATTAAATCTAATGAGGCCTATACATCTAATTAACAATTTACAGAAAATAAAGGAATATTGGGACAAGTTAAACAGCATTATGAAGATGCACTCAATCAAATCCAGAATGTGGAAAATTCTGCAGAGCAAATGATCTAATTTCTTCAATTTGAAAAATGGCATAAAAATTGAGGCATGTGTAATTTATAGGTTAGAAAAGACTTGAGACATACTAACCAAATGCAATGGATTACTCTCATTTGGATCTTTATTTGAATAAACTAACAGTAAATGATACTTTTTGAGGCGTCCAGGGAAATCTGAACACAAAGTATTACATGATGTGGCAGCCATGAATATGGGCCTCTCCGGCCTCCTACTGTGGGTGGGTAATTAACTGACAGTTCCAGGCTGTGGTCTGAATCTGCCAGGGTGTTCTGCTGAGGCCTGCTTCCTACTGGCTGCTCCCTGCCAACAAAGGAGCATGGCAGGAATACAAAGGCAAGCCCATTCCTGCAAGATGTGGGTCGACTCTGATGCACAGGCAACCTTTGGCTTGAGGACTTTTACAGCCTTGCTACAACCTTCACACTGCACTGTGGACTAAGACCTCCTGCTCAGCTATCCTCCTCTCCTCTCTCCTTCACAGAAGCTGGACCTGCACTGAGCTCTCCCACCTCCCCCAGCTCCTGCCCCCTTTTCCTCCCAGGTGTTTTCCCCCAATACATCTGCAGGCCTGCCTCTCAGGAGAACCTGAACTAAGCACAAGAGAGTAAGAAATTAGCATTAAATTTGTTAGGTATGATAATATTGTGGTTATTTTTTTAAGTCCTTATCTATTAGAGATACATACTCAAGTATGAAATTTAACTTTAAAATACCCTAAAAAAAGAAAAAATGAGGGATAAGATAGGCAAGATACGGAAAATTAATTTACCTTTGTGTATATCTGAAAATGTCCAGAGTAAGAAGTAAAAGATACCTGAAGAGGACTCCCCAAAACTGTCAAGGTCATCAAAAACAAGGAAAGTCTAAGAAACTGCCACAACTAAGAGGGTGTGGAAGACATGACGACTAAATGTAATGTGGTATCTTATTGGATCCTGGAAGACAGAAAAGACACTAGGGAAACATCTGAATCAAATATGGACTTCAGGGGGCCGGCCCAGTGGCACAGCAGTTAAGTGTGCACGTTCCACTTCGGCGGCCCAGGGTTTGCTGGTTCAGATCCCGGGTGTGGACATGGTACCACTTGGCACGGCATGCTGTGGTAGGCATCCCACATATAAAGTAGAGGAAGAGGGGCACGGATGTTAGCTCAGGGCCAGTCTTCCTCAGCAAAAAGAGGAGGATTAGCGTCAGATGTTAGCTCAGAGCTAATCTTCCTCAAAAATAAAAATAACATAAAAAACTAAAATTAAAAAATATGGACTTCAGTAAATAATGATGTATCAATACTGGTTCATTAATTGTCACAAATGCACCACACTTAATGTAAGATGTTACTAACAGGAAACTGGGTGTGGGGTATTCAAGTACTCTGTCTACCATCACAATAATTCCATAATCTAAAACTGCTCTAACGTGTTTAAAAAGTTAAAAAAAGAAAAAAAAGAAAAAAAGCAGCTTAACTCATCATATAAAAAAAAATGATCCTAAACCAATAAACATATATATTTTTTCTTTACTCATTGGGATCAATATTTTGGATGTCTCCTCACTGATAAATAGCTAGAAAATGCTATTGACTTTCTCAATTCACTGGCAGTAAACTTTGAAGATTCCATCTCCCCACCACGGACCACCCCACAGTGTCCATACCTGCAAAAAAATAACAAAAACAGAACTGTAACTCTGATGAAACATATTTATTTGTTCCAATCAAGTTTTAAAATTTGACAAAAATGCATTACTGTGACCAAAAAACCTTCAGGCAATAACAGAGATCAACCTTAACACAGAAAAACAAAGATTTCATTCCAGTCTCTTGGACTTAAGAAACCATTTGCGTTCCAGAGATAATACCCAACTAATGGGATTATGTCAAGCTGCCAATATCCATGGCTGAGGCTTTTCCTGATACAATCTTTTGCAATGCAAGCAACAACGAAAAGATTACTTATTTCTTTACAAGTTCAGTTAATTATTTATACAATATCCAAATAGAAAGACCAAGATCTTCACTTAAAAATAGAAATGCATAATGCAAATTTACAAGCTTTGACCTGCATTAGAATCATGTGAAGAGCTTGTTAAAACACAGATTGCTGGGCCTCACTTCATTCAGGTGTTGGGTGGGGCCCAAGATTTTGTATTTCTAACAGGTTTCTAAGTGAAGCCAATGCTACTAGTATGGGCACCACACTTCAAGAACCAACGGCAAAATATTTACTAGGTCAATGATTATGTCATAAGAGTGTGTCACAGCACGAGTCACAAAGCATTGCTTTGCAACCTTGGGCAAATTACCCTTCCCATCTGTACCTTGCATAAGTTTTAAAGAATCAAATAAAAACAATATTTAAACCACTTACGATGCCTGGCATATATGGCTACTGAATTACTAATTATTGAAAGTTTTTATGCTATACTAAATCAGAGTTAAAGTTATGCTCAAATTGTTAACTGAGTTGCTATGCTCAGCTAAACCTGCTAGGGTATCTAGATCTTAAAACAGTTACAAGAAACCAGAGGCACTTTTAGGCCTACTATGATCATCAATGAGCATTTCCGAAGTGTGCATTTATTCATCCCATTCCAATTACCACTGATTCACTGATTTACTTTAAAAAGTAAAGAATACAGTTAATATGAAAATTACTGGCACAATTTTACTTTAAATTAGTGATGTTTATTGTCCTAAGCCATCCATATAAGTGAAACTTTCACTCTGCTATGGAAGGCTAATAATTTTCCAACTTTCCTTAACCCTATCAAATCTATGTGTTCTTACCAAAAGTGATTTGCAGGTTCTTTGAATGGGATTTCCTATGCTTTTGACTGATATCTGTTTATACTTCTGTACTACAAGAATAAAAGAAATGATACCTTTCTATTAATTTTTCTTAATAATTTGCTTCCATAAAGCTAGAATGATCACTGGTGACATCATCTTCCTTTGTCTAACCACAGTAAACAGTTCACATTTTATTTCATATATATGTGTGTGTGTGTATATATATATATACATACATTTTTTTTTTTTCTGAGGAAGACTAGCCCTGAGCAAACATTGGCCACCAATCCTTTTTTTTTTTTTTGCTGAGGAAGACTAGCCCTGAGCTAACGTCTATGCCCGTCTTCCTCTGCTTTATATGTGGGATGCCTGCCACAGCATGGCTTGACGAGCAGTTCGAAGGTCCGTACCTGGAATCCAAACCAGCAAACCCTGGGCTGCCAAAGCACTTATGAACTTAACCACTGTGCCAACAGGCTTGGCCCCAAATAGTTCACATTTTAAAATGCAAATTTTTCTCTGGATAAAAGCCTATAACATAATATAAAGATTGTGAATTTCATGCCCCATGGTATACCTAAACAGAGATAGCAACCAGGTTAAGACTATAATATATACTGAATAACTGTATACACTTTAACATGAAAAACACATAAAAAGCACTCAAAACTCTTATTTTGTTTTTGTTTCATATGTATAAAGTCAAAGTTCAATCTACCTTTCCTAATTGGCTTAATTTTTTTCATTGCTAAACAATCCAACACCAAGTAGAGAGCTGTTTCCTTTATTAAAAGCATCTTTATTTGGTCACAGAAGTTTTTTGAAAGTGAGAGTAAAACTGTGCATTTGGCCCAGGATTAAGAGGGAAGTTTTGCATTCTAGCTTCCTTTTTAACTGTATCTGGATAGACATCAAAATAAAATAAATGGATTGTAAAGGATATGATCATCAGTCCACAGTAAACATGAAGGTCCCAAGTTACATAATTCTTTCCAAGAAGCTGACCAGAGATAAAATGTAACCTCTGGTAGAGGTGAAAAGAGAAGCTAGAGGCACGAGATAAAGAAAGTATGTGGGCGGTTTATAGCTACTGACAGAATTGTGTGCATGTACAAAGTGAATCTAAAAGAAAAAAACAGGGATTTGATGAAGTCTAAGATAAAGGGCTCTGGTTCTAATTAAGACTAGGAGACCTTGCAGATTTTTTCAATAGGCTTGCTAATGGAGTATGTTCTTATATAAGGACTTGAGACATTATCTAAACAGTGTGACTGAAGGATGCTTGTTCACTTGTTAGACATGTATGACATTACTGAGAAGATTAACTTGGATTTCTAGAAGTAAAGAAGACTGATTAGCTTGTGCAGGTGTATGATGAATGACACATTAGGCAAAAGGTTATGTAAACCATTTACTCAAGAAACAAAGACCGGATTTTTACATTCCCAGGCTCCTACTTAGCTTTTTCAAACTATGAAGGACCTGAAATTCTTTGGATATCATCAGCTTTAGTTGATAATAGTTCCATTTCTGAATTAAGAAATTATTTGTGTAGTTTTAAAAGACAAAGACAATGAAAATTTTCAGTCTGGTCGAACATGTGTACACTTGCTCACTTTTTCAAGAAAACCACCACTAATGCACCCAGATCTTATCAACACTATATTTTTGTTTAAAACATTATTCCTTCTACAATTAATGTGCTAAATAAAGATTTTAAAGTACTGCACACTGTTTCAGTAAGAAGCACATAAGTTAATTAAAATATTGGCATTATCCTTTAATTCAAAAGTAAAACTCATGGTCAGAGTTTTACTGCTAGTACAGGAAGGAAAAAATAATTAACAGGGCTAAAAAATAAATGAAAATTTACTTTTTTTATTGAGTATTTTACATGCAAAGCATAGTAAAAGTAAATCACTATCAAGTTGACTACTCCAACAATGAAAACCTATGCAATGATTATGAAAGCTGCCTACATGATGCTAATGTGATTAAAAATTATCCAGCTGTTTTCCTACAAATAGTTAGATTACCTGAATTAGCTGATTTTTCAACAAAGCAGTAGATTTTAGCTTTCATATAGTCTTTGCTGGGAGCAGCAGCCATCTGACACTTAAATTTAGAAGAAAAACATAATAATAAAAAACCTGAATAGCACAGGCAAATCTTTTAAGAAACAAGTTCACCAAAAAAAGTAATATACACCTACTAGTTACTTGAGGGGGAAACAAAACAGGCAGGAAAAAAATGTCCACCAAGTGATCAGCACTAACATTCCATGATTACCACAGTGGCTGCCAACACACGAGCTGTTCAGTGGACTCGAACAAACCAGTAATCAATAATGTGTACAGAAAAACTAACTTAAATCACATGTGAATTCCATCAACAGCTTGGTGTATCTGACATACAATGAATTCTTTTTACTTCATTACTGCTACAAATTTCTTAAAAATATTCTTTTCGTAACACATGATTATCTAAAACAAATACAGTAAGATACTTCCCAATATGCATCAGGTCTTTCAACTCCACATTCAGTAACTGCTGCAGCAAATGAAACAGTACCTATCATCTAGATCTAAGAGACAATAGCTGGAGATTAACACAAAAAAATACTTTTGAATAAACTATTCAGATTAGACCAGCTAATGCTAGTTAAGATTGCACTTTGAGCTACTGACACACACTACACAGCCTGTACACTGCTAGATGGAAGGGTTGGTCCATGCCCATTTTTTTTAAAACTTCTGTAGTATCTCTAATTGTATACCCAGCTGACTAATAAATACCTGCTGAAAGAACAGGTATGAAAATTTAATGTAACCTCCTCATCCATATTCCTCTCACATACACGTGATTATTTTGTGGGGGGACAGGGATGTGACTTTAACACGCTATGAAGTTCTAGCTAAGTACAATTAAAAAACAGTCTGGGCTCAGGTTTTCTTGGGTAATGGTTCAAGTCTTCATGAGAATGAAACAACCAACTTCCATACATCAAGTAGAAACTTAGCATGGGGAGAAGGGCCCTTGTTGATGCACCTGATGAGAAAATGTCCCTTGTCTATTAGTATTATGCTTTCCGTTTAATGGAACAAAAGGGTCACTAGTTCTCAGATAAGTAACGTACCATCCTAATCAATGGGATGTCCTTTATTTTTGAGAGCATAGTTGCAATGCAAAAGAAGTCAAGTTCACTGTTACATATTAGGAATGGTTCAGATACAATAAGATAATGTTTAGCACTGACTTTAACATGTTATTTTAAAGTTCTGATTCCTGAATGCTAGCTTTTCTCACTTCATATATTGCCCCCAATGAAAAGCTGGTGTGTTTGGTTTCTTATATTATTATGAAATGAAAATATATAACTGAATCTTGTAACAGGTTATCATGAATAGTTATTAAAAGGTGCCAACATTGCATGGAACTTACTAGGCACTGAACACAAGATCAAAGAACTACAAAAAAGACGAAAGAGGACTATCACTGTACATATGAACATTGTCTAGAACATCAGATCAATTGTAAAACCCAAGGTCTTTCCTATTTTGTCTTACGGTGTTGAACATATGGATGTGTCTATAATTATTATTAACTTGCATTATTTTCAACAAAGTATTAGTGGACTCAAAATCTTGCATTTTAGTTTCTAATTATAAAAATCCAAGTTAACCCAGAAAACACAAACCACATGTATTTGAGGTAGATTTTTCACCTTAAGAATACATTGCTTCTACCACAATTAAAAAGTTATTAAAAAAAATACATTGCTTCATGTATCTTCCACTGATACTTAATTTTCTGTTTTAAACTACTTGAACAGGCATGACAATGCTAATCTACTATATTTAGTAAATTCTCTAGAAATATACACCCTAACGCCTTCCTCTTCTTGTCTAAAGGTAACTGTAGTGCAACAAAATGAATAACAATTCTAGAAAAATGAAACATTACTTCAGTAATTCTCAAGTATTTAATGCGTGTCAGAAACCAGGGCAGCAAGTCATGTTCCTTTTAAAGATAAGAAACTTACTGTTTTGAAAATAATATCATAAACGCATTAGAACTTCGGATATGCTTTATTATGCCACAAATTCCGAGAAGATATAAGAAGCATTATTTCAAATCGGACTAATAATTCACAAATACTAGCACTTTATTGACAATAGCCAAGTTTTTAAGGTAGTGCACATGTATTTAAGTTACCTTTCTAAAACCTCAATGTTCTTTATAAATTTTAAAGGGAAACTGTAGCAGATCCTACACCGTCAATGTAAAAATCTAAATATACACTTGAAGGACGGGAGAAGGAGTGCACGTGAGTTGCTTTGCTTAAGTTGTCAGGCTGCTGTATCTGCACGAGGCACCATTATGTAAAAGATCATTATTGGAAATGTTCCCAATAAACTGAAGAAAAATAAAATTTTAAAAACGATTCAGTCTTTAAAAGCATTAATTGGTATAATTTTAAAAGAAGAAATGAAATATTCCTTCACTTATATACGGATTAAACAGAAAATTCAAAATACTACTTTTACTGAAAAGCCAATATACTAATATATTTTAAGGCTGGATACTGACAGCATTTTCACAACATCCGAAGTGTGGATGGGGAACTAGGCAATACCGATGATTTCTGTCACATACCTGAAGGTAACTAAAGGGAGCTGAGTACCTCACAGGCAGAGGTGGTGACTGGGCCTGGCATACCATTAGACATGTGGGCAGCACATCAGTGCTGCCATGCTGGGTAATAATCTCCAAAAACGATGCCTTTATGTAGTAATTCTGCAACTATATCAAGTCTGGTAGTCTCACACTGAATTTTTTGGTAAAACTACATCTGGACATATGAAAAATTCCCAGGAGATCAGTTTATTAATAAACCTTTTAAAAGGAGAAAAATACTGGTAGCTAAAATTATGTTAATTCCAGGGTCTCCAATGGAAGATATAGGGGGAAAGAGACAATGGCAGCTGTTTCTACACCTAAATTGTGATCAGAATCATCTGATAATGAGCTTTAAAAATTCTGTCTAGGGTCTCAAACTTATCTAGAAGCTACAGCGTTGGAATTCTTTTTAAGCAACCCATGTGATTTTGATGATGGGCCAAAGTTGAAACTTCTGAAGTGGGAGGTGGGGGAACCAATCCAGGCAAATGCAGCAAGTTTTAGAACTCAACATCTGATATCTATCATTTACTCTACGTTTTTTCCAATTGTTGCTCCTTCCCTATTTTTCTAATAGTGAATAATGAAGGGGCTTGGCAAGTGAAGGAGAGAGAGTCAGTAGGGTACCCCAAATGGATTTTACCATGTTTAAGTCACTTATGTACATTAACTGGATAGAAGGGTATCACTATACTGTCTGAGGCTCAACTCTCATGCAGACATTTCTAAATGTGTTTTAAAGGAAGGGTTTCCTTACTCAACGTGAAAATGTAATACAAAACAATTCTAAACACTAATGATATTTAATAGAAGAGAGTATTTGTATAAGTCTTCAAAATAATTCTGTTTTAAAAAATCCAAGGTTAGGAAAAATCCCTTAAATTTGAGGTAGGGGAATAATTCTGTCACATCAGAACAATTGTGTCACAGTGTTATTCTCAAAGTTAGAAATTAAAGTATTTCAGTACTATTTCTGTTTATGTACTGTTTCGTTAATGTTAAGTATAAATGTTTTAAGTGTGGATAAATATTTTGGTTTTGATTTTAACGCATATGGATAATTAAAAATATGGATTTTTTTTCTTATACACTGAAATTGTACACACTCTCCAGGCTTGATGAATAAACACTTTTTAAATATCCCACGTTCACTTAAAAACCTTGGAATAATAAAAAAGGTAGTACCTACAAAAGAAATTTTACATTAAAATTACAATTGTATGTTTTTCAGAAGTTAAAACGATTTTAAATTTTTTTCAATATTCAAATACAAAATAGTACATTTTAGTTTACCATAGCACAATTCAAGTATTCTCTTAAATTTTATATTTAGCCAACTAATACATGATATTAAGTGACTTTTTATAATAGTTTTCCTTTTTAAAGATGACTGTTATATAAAATAGTGTGACTCTATATTACTTTAAATTGCTTAGAATAAGTTGAAAGAAGAAATGACAGTAGACAAAGACCTTTATGAGTCAATCATCAACATATAAAAGGTTGCACACATCAGTAATAAGGCATTTGCAGGTAACTCCCCAAAAGTATTTAAATTCATGTAAACAAAGACTATGTATATCACTTTAGGGAGAAAATGCACTACCATAGATAAAATATACTCAAATGGTTGTGACTTTAAACCATATATTATTTGAATACCACACAAAACCAAAAAGAGGCATAACCTATCATTTTAATAACTGAAGGATGTTACTTATTCGTGAAATAAAAGGTTGATATTTTGAAACTAATAATGAACAAAGAAATATTTTGAAAACAAACATCCATTGTTTTCAAGAAATAAATATACATATTTAGTTAATGTATTGCAGCAGAGGAATATTGTCCTAGCATTAACCATAACATTCAATCAGTAGTTTTAAAATCTTTTTTCCACACTGAGGCTTGAATCTTCTACCTTGTCAGCTGCCCAACGACTTTCAAAAGAGTTTTATTCTCCTGCTTTAGTTGTTCATTTTCATCTTCTATGTCATCTAGGTCCTTAAGGAAACAAAAAGGAAAATAGTGAGTTTTCAAAACACTTAAAAATATTCTGAAGGTGAGAAAAACATTTCAAAAAATATACAAAGATAATTCATAAAAGCAATTAATTTGGAAAGTAGGGCAAGTTCTGAAACAACTTTAGATGGACCATGCCCCACCTAACAGAAGCATCCAGTACCTGACTCCTTCTCATTGTTATCATGGTAATATGGGCTAACTCTTGAGAGAGCTTTCAGTTTTTCAAGAGAAGCCAGAAGTTAGAATTCTTTAAACGTGAATCTTCCAATTTTTAATCATTATAAATAACTTAATTTTCTAGTTAAAAACAAATCCCCTCCTCCTCAAAACTGAGAGCTAAATTTACAAAATACATATGCAGGCAATATGAAATTGACGGAGCCAGACTGCAACCTAGTGTCAAATCAGACATGAAAAAGATCCAGGTACAGGGGTTCTGGATGTCCTACCACCTTGTGTGATCTTTAACACGCTGGGGCATTAATCTGGGGAGGTGATAGAACCGAGGCATACAAAAAAGGAGATCTGGGGCACATAGAGTTGATCTGGTTCAATTTATATGTTGGGCTTCTCTACGACATTTTGTTCGGGGCCAAGGTTTTAGAGCTTAAAAAAGAAAAACTGAAAGTCACTGAACTAAATAATCACTCTCCAGCTTGAAAGTTATATGATTACAGCTGTATCTTCTCTATATTAATCCTAGTAGCACATACCCAACTATGTGGTAAATATGAAGACAATTCACTATAAATTTTAATTAGAAGAAACATTATTTCAAGGCAGACTACTTACTGATGTTTGGAAAAGCCAATATTTAAAGATTTACCCTGAAATTCAAAATACTAAAACTTGGAGCAATCAATTTGAATTATAAGTGTGCTATTGGATAGTGGCATTCTGATAAATTTAGTATACTGTCTTTGGAGAATTAGATAATGACTTAAATATGTACAAAAATAGAATTTGCATTTACTCACAAATGACATGAATGATGTTGGGTAACTAATCTGTTGAAAACAACAATAAAGATACGGAATTCCTAAACTACTACAACTGAGACCTACCTGAGATTCACAACTAAATGATAAAATGCATTCATGTATCATTACTAGATTATAAACTCTGTAAGGACAGGTGTTTTATTATTCTTTTTAACACACAGTGACTAAGACAGTGTTAATACATCATAGACGTCAAAAATATTTGCGGACTTTATTAAACCATATTCCAGAACCAATACAGGAATACCTGTCTTCTGAACCAAGATGAGAAAATGGGAAGAGCTCAGAATGAGAACTACAGCAGAACACTTGAGGTCCAACACCAGCTCAGCTGATTACTATGTAATTACATCTTATGACCCCGAGCAAGTTACACCGAGTTTCAGTGTCCTCACCTACGACCTCTAGTTAATGCCTTAGAACTTTATTAGAACGGGTCTGCACATAATGAAGCCTCTCAATTTTCTCTTCTTTCACTGTTAAAGATTGGATTAGGAATCTGTTCCTTTTTCCCTGAAGCGAACTTAATTTCTTTCCTCCCTCTTATATAAGCTTTCTGAAAAGCAAACCGATGGAATCTCTTCTTATCATCATTGCCTAAGTATGGCCTAGCACTAATACCTCCTTCTTGAGCAGCAAATAAATTCTAGGGCTGAGAGCACAAAAAAAAAAAGAAGAAAAAACAAGAGAGCTATCAATAGCAGTAATAGAGACCTTGGGGTAAGGCTAAATGTAAAGTTGGGAATGCACACGTAAAATTGGAGGGGGGAAAAAAGTGAAAAGACACACAAAGACATGTGGCATTTCTTATGGCAAGAAAGTAGCAATTTTAATTCTTCACTCAAGCAACTCTCGGTGGCATTTGCCAATGCCTTTCACATGTGGAGGGGCCCAAGCTGCTCTCACCTCCCGGCTCTAACAAAACACAGAACAACTGCATTCATCCTACCGCCCCCAAAAGAAGAGTAAGTGACATCAACTGATAACTGGCTAGAGGAAATCAGTTTATGGAATGAAATGATGGTTCTTACACTACAAATTACTATCTCATTAACGAGAGAATGAACTAAATAATGAAATTAGATAATTTCTTCACATTTACGTATTTTCATCCAATTGGCAGGAAAAAAAGAAACCGTAAAACTGAAATATGTGAATACTCACTCTATTTAACAAATCAATTTCTTCTTTGAGTTTTCCGATCATTTCCTCTTTATCTTGCATTAGTCTCACAAGTCTTAAGTTTTCTTGCCTTTCTCTTACTACTTCCTGGTAGACATAATTACAAAGTATTAATTAGAAAGAAATTGGTTGTTTCTAATTTTAAATGGCATATGTCTGCCAAGTTTGGTGAAGTATCTTTGATATATGAAGATTTCCAATGAATTTCTTAAGTCACTTGGTAAAGGAAGGAGAAACCCATCCCAGAAAAGAACCAGAGAACCAGAGGAATATAGGAGTTACCTGTTTCTGATTAAATCTATGTTTATACAAGTTTTTAACAAATACTAATACCAACAACTTATCCTTTTTAGCTTATCAGCACCATTAGTAATGAAATATCTTACTTTTTCAATGGATAATAACCTGTTTGAGGAAATTCAAAATTTTTATTAAAAATACAAAGGTTAAGAGAAGGAGATAGCTTTATAGAAAACTCTAAACTCTAAAAATAATGATCTTCAATTTTACTTCTGACTCTGCCAATTAACTGACAATGGACAAAATGAAGGAAGTGAAAGAGATACTGGTTTCTAAACGTTTTTTTCCTTAAACAATGCAACACCTCTTTCAAAGAAATCTTTTTTAGAATCCTGGGTCTTAGGTTGGGTCAGGGGCAAAAGAGAAGCAGCCCAGAACTTGGCTTCTTTCCTACCAACTCTGAGGGAAGCATCCAGTCAGCCTCATTAATCAGTTGCTGCCAACTACTAGCAACTCAATCTAAAGTCTTGCCAAACTTTAAAAGCCTTCCTGAAGAACCCCCTTGAACCTATTAGACTATGTATCCCTTAAAGTTTTTAATTTAAACTCACAGAAATTAGTGTGAAAGCTTAGATGTGAACTAACCATCATGTTATAAAATAGAAACAATTTTATAAAATTAAATCTGTAATTAAAATGATCTTTACATCACAAGGAATAATTTCAGTTCAGCAAAACAAAACACGTTTTCAACAATCAGAAAGTAAAGCAGCACCACTATCAATTTTAGGGGTTGCATGTCTGCAGAAAAAACCTGAGACCCTGTGGTTAATCAATTTCTGCCCATATTCCTTTGAGTTGTTCTCAAGGATACTCCCAAAGACAGGTATGTTCTCCAAATTGTTTAAACACCAAAGACGGCTCTAGGCTCTCATTCGGAACCCAGAAGAAACTCTACAAACGACAATCTGCCCAGATCCTATAATAAATACGCAACAGCACACACCGCCAGCACACACCTCTAACCACTTCAGAGGCAAAGACTGCTTTCAGTGTATTATAGATAACACTTGGCAGAATGGGAGTACCCATTAAACATTAAGAGATACAAGAACTGGTTCCACTTCTAAAAGTTTTAACATCAACAGAACTGGACAGGAAAGTATTAAGCAAATCAGAAAATGCTTAGCCACTATGCATCTAGAAACTATATACTTAAGACAGTGATTCAAAGCTGCTATTTAACTGTAATATGGAAATACCAATTAACACTAATAATAACTTCCATCAGTGCCCCTTATTCTCTTCCTTTTGACACTGTATCTCCCTTACAAATTTCAACTTATTTTCTCTCAGCTGCTATGAAAGTAAAAAAAGGAATCTTAATGGTATATTAATTTTATCAATCTTAAATAATTTGTAATTCATACCTTTTCAAGATCTTCAATTTTCTTTTCCAATGTGCTACTTGAGAGCAAATTACCTGAAGCATTTGCATCCCTGTTATATCTGCTGAACCCACTTCTGTCTGTTCGGGGATATCTACTTGAGACATCTTCTTCAGAGGCAGTGGTTGTGCTATGGAAATAAAAAAATATACTTTATAAAAATCCCTAGTACTTAGCAAAAATGCCAAGAATATTTTATACTCACCATAAACAATTACCAATCCCGAGGACACACAGTTATAGTTGCCGACTTATTTATAACTATCGAAGCTAATTATTATTCCAACACAAAGAAAAATTTTTTAAAAACATTAATTCTTTCCACCAAATCTTGCAAATAGCTGCTAAGTACCAGACACTGTTCTGGGTACTGAAGACATAACAACAAACACACACATGGCCTCTGCCCTTCAGGCAGCTCTCAGTTTAACAGGGAATGTAACCAATTCCAGTGAAGCCAGATGACCAGCATGATAAGGTAAGCGCAGGGTACCATGAGAACTATGACAGGGGACCTAATGTAGACTACCTGTGATGAGGGAACCACTTTCCTTTTCTTTTCCTTTTTTTTTTTTCAAATTCCAATCCATCATGGACCAATATATAAATATACTGGAAAAATAAAAGTAAAAAAGGCCATACAAAATACACGTCCAAATGCTCTATTAGGTTCAGTTTTCTAAAATTATATTTCAATAATACAATTAAAATAAACAAAAAAATTATATAAAATTGCCTATTTTTCATTGGAAGTATGCATATAGGCAATTATTATAGAAAATGGCTATCACTAGTAACTTGTCATTTCATAATTCTAATTTAACCAAAAGTTAAGAGTGAAATTGCAATTACTCATATGAAACACCAATTCACACACATTCAACTAATAGCACATATGTCAATTTTTAAAGTTTTTAATGCAATAAATGAGCTTGCTTCTTGTGTTCTGTATTAGTTATCTATTATTGCATAAAAAATTACACCAAAACTTAGTGGATTAAAACAAACACATTTATCTCACAATTTGTTGCTCAGGAATCTGGAAGCAGTTCAGCTGGGTGGTTATGAAACCTGTCATGAGGTCTTAGTCAAGATGTTGGTCAGGGCTACAGTCATTTGAAGGCTAGACTGGGCTGGAGAACTTGCCTCTAAACTCACCCACACGGCTGATGGCAAAAGGCCTCAGTTTCCCACTGGCTGTTGGCGAGAAGCCTCAGTGTGTGGGCCTCTCTGTTGGGCTGTTTACCACATGGCAGCTGGCTTCCAGAGAGAAAGTGACACAGCAACCAAGACAGAAGCTGCAGTTATCTCCTGTGACCTAATCTGAGAAATGACATACTATCACATCAACACTGAGTTGCAATGGGAAGGCGGTTACTCAAGGTGTAAATATCAGGAGGCAGGGCTTCCTGGCGGCTCACTTGGGGGCTGAAGACCACACTTGTTAATTTACCTAATCTAGGCTGGGCTGATGACAACACTGCTCACAAGGGACAAGGTATATCCAAACTACTTCCATGTTTTGTTTCAATAGCACTCGTAACAGAGAAACTAGTTTCACAGATGTATGCTGACAGGAATAGAAGAGATTTTAAAGCAATTTCAACAAGCTCAAGATACTCATTTTTAACTTTTACACAAAATGCAGAAAATGACACTTTTCAAACTTTGTGTTCAAATATTCACCGGCAGACAGTTCCAATCATCTATCCATCAAAATTATAGTTAAGCCTAAAATAACTTCTGATGAAACAAATGGATTCCTGACCTATTAATTTCGTGTGCATGGATTTCCTTTTGATGGAAAATAAATTCAAAGTGTGTCTTATCAAATTTGTAAGGTATTTTTCATTACAACTTTTTGCAAATTTACAATACCAAAATCACCACATACTTTACTGATAATTGTTACTATATTGTGGCACTCATAACAATTTGTAGAAACTTTACCCCAAATTTCTATCTTTTATTTTTGTTCTTTGATCTTAGATAACATTGAGTACATTGGATATTCCTTCCTCGCATGGAAGGCTAAGATCATTAAAAAAAAAAAAAAGAGTGAAGCTATCAGACAAATAAGTCTACTTCACGTATTGAAAAAGCTGGGGGCCAAACTGGTTTCTTACATTGCAAAAACACTGAGTTCATCCCAAAATTCAAATACTTTTGTCTGAGAATTTCCCTTTGAAAATCACTGTATACCTCAGCATATGATAATGGCTAATTGGTTCAGCTTCCAAATTAACATTTATTAAAAAATCCAAAATTTAATGCATTAGTGTTTAAGTAATTCACACTTCCAGTGAACTGCTGTTAATTTAGCTGACACAGCAAGTATACTGTTTAGTTCAGCTGACATCGCAAGACTTTCTCAATGAAAGAAGCAGGACACTGATTTACACTTTGGCACAAGTTTCAGCATGTTTTTCCTGTCACTGTCTCTATATAATCAGAACATACTCCTACAAAAGCAAAGGAAAACTCTAAACCACATTTGTTGATTTGTAAACCCTTCAAGTTTTATATACTTCAGAGCAAGTTGTGCTTGTCAGCAAGGCAGTTGAAAAGTAAATTCTTCCTTCATATCACTATTATGTCAGCAAAATCACTGTGTTCATCAAATTGTAACAAAAATGCCTTTGCTACCCTTACTTGTCTAAGAGTTGGGCTTCTGTAACACTAGACTGTTGCTAAATCTATCAAGCTATTGTGCTGCTGGGGAGTATTACATGAACTACCTTCTTTGCTACAGATCCAACATTTCCAAACAAACATCTTGTGTTGCCAATTGTGTGTAGTTTTTTAATGTTAGCAAGCTGAAGCGAGACTTTAAAAGAAACTCAGAGCATAATGATTACACATGAAATCCTGCAGATCTGCTTCTGCCAGCTTAATTCTAATATTTCTTCTTTCAAATAATGCATTTGTGGTTGCGAAAGTATTTATGTCATACCACTTAAATTTTGATGGTTTTATTGTTTTACTAGCCAGTACATTACTGCAAATAACCCACTGTGGTTTAGCACTTCTCATCAGTTACAGCTCAAAATTTAACTCAACACAGGAGGGACGATGCTTCCCAACAAAACTTATACAAACTGTTTTGTTCTGTATCTCTTTGAAATTACTTACATCATCATCAATTGGTTTACCACTACCATCACGTTCAGAAAAGGTGTATCTTTTCTTATCAAAAAGTCTAATAAAGTCCGTTTTATTATAAGAAAATTAGGATTAAAAATAAAGTATATAAATTTTACCTCCTGGATTTAGATAATACTAACAAAAGCAGAAATTGAAAAGCATGAAAAAGATTGTTACTTTTTATATATTTTCTTGTTTTATTTTTGTTTAATTATTATATGTTTAGTTTTTAATTGTTTTATTTATTGACCAAGAATAAGTGATTAAATTTAACACAAGATTCCTAAAATAAATTAATATTTACATTTTCTTCAATTCTTACACATTTTGGGTTACGAATGACTAACATGAAAATAACACATGTACAGAGGAATACACATTCTTCTCAAGCTCACATGGAACATTCACCAAGATAGACTATGTTCTAGGCCCTAATACACACCTCTACAAATTTAAAAGAATAGAAATCATACAATGCCTGCTTTCAGACCACAACAGAATTAAACTAAGAAAAAGATAACTGGAAAATCCCAAAATACACAGAGATGATTTCAACACTTTTTTTTTTTTAGCAATATTAGCCCTGAGCTAACATCCGCCACCAATCCTCCTCTTTTTGCTGAGGAAGATTGGCCCTAAGCTAACATCTGTGCCTATCTTCCTCTGTTTTATATGTTGGATGCCTGCCACAGCATGGCTTGATAAGCATGCATAGGTCCATGGCCAGAATCCAAACCAGCAAACCCAGGGCCACCGAAGCAGAGTACGCAAACTTAACCACTGCGCCACCCGGCCAACCCCTCAACACACTTTTAATAGCATATAGGTCAAAGAAGAAATCTCAAGAGAAATTAAAAAATATTTCAACTAAACAAAAATGAACTCAGAATTTAAAATTTGTGAGATGCAGTGAAAGCAGTGCTTAGAGGGAACTTTATAGCACTGAATGCACATATTAGAAAAGGAGATCTAAAATGAATATTCTTTAAGGTTCTACCTTAGGAAACTAGAAAAGGAAGAGCAAATTAAATCCAAAGTAAGCACAAGAGATGAAATAAGAATAAGAGTAGAAATCAATGAAATTGAAAACAAGAAACAGAGAAAAATCAATGAAACCAAAAGTTGTTTCTTTGAAAAGATCAACAAAATCAGTAGGCCTCTAGCTAGGCTAAGAAAACAAGAAGACACAGATTACTAATATCAGAAATGAAAGAGGGGATATCACTAAAAATTTCATGGACATTACAAGGATGATAAAGGAATACTATGAACTCTGCCTACAAATTTGATAACCTAAAAGAAATTGACCAAATCCTTGAAAGACACAACGTGCCAAAACTCACACAAGAAACAATCTGAATAAGCCTATATCTCTTAAAGAGACTGAATCAATAATTAATAACCTTCTAAAACAAAAACACCAGGCCCAGATGGGTTCACTGGTGAATCCTACCCAACATTTTAGGAAGAAATTATACCAATTCTCTAAAATCTCCTCCAGAAGACAGAAGCAGAGGGAATACTTCTTCACTTATTCTATGAGGCCAGCATTACCCTAATACTAAAATCAGACAAGGACGTCACAAGAAAACTACAAACTAGTTCTCTCTCGTGAACATAGATGCAAAGATCCTTAACAAAAATATCTGAAAATCAAATTCAACGATGTATAAAAAGAATTACACACCAAAATCAAGTGGGATTTATCCCAGGTATGAAAGGCTGTTTCAACATGCAAAAAATCAGTTAATGTAATCCATCACATCAATGGGCTAAAGAAGAAAAATCACATGATCATATCAATACATTCAGAATAAGCAAGAGACAAAATCCAACACCTATTCCTGATAAAAACTCTACACAAACTAACTCCTCAACTTGATAAAGAATATCTACAAAAAACTTACATCGTACTTAATGGTGAGACACTAGAAGTTTTCCTGTAAAGATTAGAAAAATGTAAGGATGTCCCCTCTCACCACTCCT